AGTTCACCTGCCTTTTCTCCGGGCTTCTCTGTAGATCCCTGGGTCTGTGACAGGTTGGGATTCCAGTAAACACTCTTTACTCCCTATTCCCATCCAACCTGTGTGCTTTAGCTACACACTAGATGCACAGTCCCCAGTGGACATTTTCTAGGTACAAACAATATTAGCACGGATTTGATAAAATTCTACCAAGGGGTCAGTACACACCAGGCTATTCCAGGTGTTAGCCTGGAGGTGTGACAGGTAATAATCCCATTCTCCTTTGGCAGAAATGGAGGCCCTAGGAGAAGGCATTCCCAAGTTCTGGAACCCTAAGCCTCCCAGGAGCCTGGGTTTTGGCAGCAGGGTTGGTCGTCGCTGGGTAATGGAACTTCTCTGCTAAGTGACAAGGCAGAGAAAGACAAACACTGTATGCTATCTCTTATATGTGGAGTTCAAAGCAAAGAAAGAAGCCAATTTCAAAGAAATGGAATGAAGACCCCTGTAGGAGCTTGAGGATACTGATAGGTTGAGAGGAAGGCGGGAGTTGCTAAATGCAGAGTAGAGTGGTGGTGGTCAGGGTTGGGGGGAGGGGAAATGGGAGATGTAGGTCAAGGGGCACAACATTTCAGTTATAAATTCTGAGGATCTAATGTAGGACATGATGAGCATGGTTAATAATACGGTACTGTTTACCTGCAAGTTGCTGAGAGTACATAGTAAGTATTCTCACCCCAAAAGCAACAACAAAATAAACAGAATTAACTATAGTAGGAGATGGATGTTTAATTGTCTTAATCTTGGTAATCATTCCACAATGTACATGTATATCAAATCATCATGCTGTACACTTTAAATATATACAATTATACCTATCAATTATTTTTTGGGGGGGGGGATTGAATTTGAGAAGTGTTTCTTTACCCTGCACCCAGGCAATATTCAATCATTGTTTGTCCCAGCTGAAGAGGAGCGTTTCAAGTTTCTAAAAAGAAGAAAAGCTAGAAAGAACGTTCTGGAGGAGGACGTGTGATTGGAGTGGACCCAGAGGAGCAGGACTGAAGGGGCGTGTGGAGGAAATGGAAGGAAGAAAGCAGAGCAGTGATTACGCTGGAAACAAGGATGGCGATTTGGAAAAATGACTTCTGCACTGGGAGTGACTCACAGGGAGGCATCTGCAACCGCGAGCAGGAAAAAGAACCAACAGCCAGGCATGAGATAAAGGGCCACAGGCAGCAGATGAGAGGCTGGGACAGAGCTACACCTGTGGGGGTGGGAGTTGTCAACAAGTGGAGACAATCTGAAAAGGTGGGATGCGGTGGCGGGCAACAGTGGGTTTTGTTTTTTTTAAATTTGAAGCTGTCTTCCCTCTAACATCAGACACTGAGGTTTCTTAATCACCACCCTCCCCCTCAGAATGGAGGGGTCTGTCAAGCAGAATCGCAAGGAGCAGCAATTGGGAGGAGGTTATGTTTGCACTCTCTCATTCACAGTTTGCCCTGGAATAAATGCCTCTCTCCCTCAAGGCCCTCGTCCCCGCTGCTATGTCCGGAAGCACACAAAGGTGCTCCTTGATTCGCTGTTTCAAGACAAAAGTATGAACACCCTGGACTCAGTGTACTCAGGATTGGTGCCTGGGCGGCTTGACTGTGAAAAGAATGAGGCATTCTGACATGACTGCACAGCAACAAGACAGCTCCTGTGTGCCAACAAGCTGATCGCCTCACTCAGCACTTCTTAAGGCAAAGCTTTCACTCTTTTTTTTTTTTTTTAACAGATATCTGATTGCTAAGGCATGCAAGGCAGCAAACACGGAGAGCAGGCTTCTGTGATACGGAAGCCACTGTAAGTCCACAAAGGCTGAAAGCAAATGTTCAGAATTCCCAGGGGCTCTGGTTAGCGTCTTTTGACTCCTGGTTTCTGCATGTGTGTGCACATGTGCATGTGTGGGTGCCCCCCCCTTTTTAAATGGAGCAAGGACAGTTCATTGATGAAGTTCAGAAACAGAACCTTAAGTATAAAAGGTCTGGGTTCTGGACCCCATTCTGTTCTGACAAAGGTTAAATTTCCAATCCTAGTAGGGATGGTAATAGTACCTGACTAATGAGGCACCCTGCTGGGAGGCATCAGCAAGATGAGGACAGTGTCTTATGAGGACTGTCACGTCGATCTACACACAGGTGTTGGTGCTGTGTTATGAGATTTTTATTAAGCTAATACTTGATAGTCAGGGTCTCACTTATAATTTTCCATTCATAAATGTTGCAAAAGTGGAATCATTAACAGAATTTCACTGGGGGTAGGCGTGGTGGTGACCACATGTTGGCCCTGGTCCCCTGGAACCAAGCTGGTGCCATTCACCAGCTGTCTGGTAGCCTCTGCAAAGCACACCCAGTTAGCTTCCTCCAGGCTACTTGTCCACTTTACAAAACCTGCCACCATGATGGCGCCACCAGGAGGTCTCTAGTCCCCATTCCTACAGTGCCTGTGACATTACCTGGGGGAAAGGACACGCTGCTTGAATCCTGGGCAAGGCTCTTCAGGGTCAAACGAAGGCCTAAGAGTAGCTTCCTTTCCTTAGCACTTACTGCTTATTATGTGAGTGGCTTAGTACTTACTGTGTGCCAAGCACCCCACTAGGTACTTTGTATTATCTCACTGTACCCTCAAAACCTGGCCATGCCAGAGGTACTGCTGTCATCCCCATCTAACGGAGGGGGAAGCGGGCAGGCACATTGTTCAGCGTCACACAACCTGGAAGTGGCAAGGCCAGAATTTAAATTTGGTTCCCACCCTACTCCAGGGCCCCTCCTCTCGCCATTTACTTCAATGAACATACGGTTTGAAGACTGGAGCTGTCCGTCCTGGGATATAATGTCATGACTGTGACTACCATGCTGCAACACCTCTGAAACCAATCAAGAGTGAGCTAAACCTTGAGCAATCAAGTGACTCTACAGAAATAACCTTAACTAAGAATCAAGGGACATGCAGGCTCTACACCTCATTACCTGGCTCGATGCTGCTCTAGCCCCGTCACATACAAGAGGCTGCTAACTAACCTTGAAGAGTGGGGTCCTGGGGCCAATCTGCTGGGACTCCAATCTCTGCTTTCTTCTAATCTCGGGCAAGACACCGAACCCCTCTGGGCCTAAGTTTCCTCATCTGGTAATAATAACAGAACCTCCCTCCTTGGGCTGTCATGAAGATGAAATGAAATAAAACATGTAAGATGCTTAGAGCCACATAGAGCCCACAATGAGTATTACCGATAATTATTTGTACCAGTCAGAGTCTACGGGCAAGATGCTTTATACCCGAGTTTCCCCATCTATAAAACAGATCGGCAGAGTTGCTATGAGAATTAAGTGAGATAAAATCCTGAAAGCATGTCACATGCAGACCTCCTTGCGGTAGGCATTCAGAAATGTTCATTTGTTTTCCTCTTCCCCGTGTGGCACTCTCACGTGGTCTTCTGAGACCTGTCTCCCATGTTATAAAGTGAGACGCCCCCTCACTCCCCAGCCCAGTGACCTCACAGGCAGGTCATGTGAGAGCCAGAGCGAGCCAACAGCCCGGCTGCATGTGAGGAAACCTGGGTCCTACTTATAGTTCCAGCTTTTGAAAAGCCACATACCTCCCCTAAACCTCGACTTCCTTATTTATTATAATCTCAGCAAGCGTGTTACAGACAGCGTGCTGCATGTTAGAGATGCAAAGATAAGGTACAGTTCCTGACTTCAAAGAACACACATTCTAGTTAAAAATAAAGGCAGGTAAACAATGAAGTGCATTGATTACGGTATAGACGACACACAGGTGGCCCGAAGTCCGAAGGAGGGAGCCATCAGATTTACCGAGGCAGGGCAAGGAAAGATTCAGAGAAGACAGGCCCTGGAGCTGAGTCTTACAGATGAATGGGAGTTTCCCAGGCAGAACCAGAGGAGAGGTATTCCAGCAAGTGCAAAGGCTTAGGGATGCAAAATGAGGAACTGTAAATAATTAATTACGGCTGAGTACAGGGTGCATCTAGGGGAGTGGCAGCAAGACAGGATAACATCATCCCCACTTCCCTTGCAGGATTTCTGTGAGACTTGATGAGAACAATGCCTTAAAACACTGAAAGGGACACCATGTTACAGAAATGTCATGTATGATTGTTAGGAGTGCTCTAGCAAGGCTCCTTATGGTACTAATTTCACCCATTTCCCAGCATGAGAACTCCGAATATTATTTCTTCTGTTACCACCACCTTACCTCCTTCCTCTCTCCCCTGAGAGAAGGCAAACAGGAGTGAGTATTGATCTAAGTGGAGAGGTGGGAGGGAGGAATGAGAAGTGTCTAGCTCTGTCTTTCAATTACCACAGATCTTTTGAAAGCCCCTTACCTGTAATGTTTCTCATATTATAACAGAGTTCAGTTCTTTATTGGCCAAAAAGGAAACCTTGACCCTAAATCCTTGACTTTTTAGATGTTCTTGACCATAACCCATAGTAAGAAATACATTTTATACCAAATCCATCACACACACACACACACACACACACACACACACACATTGTAAAACAGTGTCAGTTACAATCTCCAAACTGATTTCATTACTTGACAGTGGTTCACAACCTACAGTTTGAAAAACACCGCCCTAAGAGACAGGAAGGTTCATGGAAGATTTCAAAAGTGTAATTCACGAATCCCTTCAACTTTTCTTTTGCATTTCAAGTCATTGCAAAATAGAAGCAAGTCCAGCCCATTTTCTGGGAAACAAACCACCCATTTGCTCAGTTCACTTGGTGCTGTGCTGACGGTACAGGAGAGCTTTCCACGGGGGTTCCTTGTGTGTTTGGTTGCTACAGATGATTAGCATGTTGACAAGCACAATTCCAAAACACAGGACTCTCTCTTGGGCAGGGCCTTGGTGCCCTGTGGAAAGTAAGATCCCATGTCCCCAATGCCTTTGCGATGAGAACATTCAATAAACAACTTCTTTCATGTAAAGGGCCCATCACACTTCATAACCCAGAAGTGAGCAAGCATTCTGCCCCAGGGCTGCTGAAATGGGAACACGATGACTAGATGCCTTTCCAATCATGCACAGATTTAAAATTCACAGCACCATCCTCACGCTTGCACCTCCCTCAATGAGGAAAGAATCTGCTCCCTATCCAGCTCTGCATGCCTTTGTGTCCAACCAGAATCCTAAAGCTGGAGAGAAACACACAAGTTTTCTGGTCTACCTCTCTCCTTCCAAAAGGATGGCCAACTAAACTTTCCCAGCTCACAGCTGAACTATTTCCCCTTGTACCACAACATGCACCTGTGCTCCTAAGGGCTTTCCTTGTGGTTCTGCAAAAGCTTTAGATGTTTCTACCGTCACACTTTTGATTATACTGTTTCCTTCCTGCCCATACAAACTCCATTTATTTTTCCAGATCACATCCCAAGCGCTCTAAGAAGTCTCCCCCAAATTCTATAGGCCTGTCCATCCCTTCCCCCTTCTCTGAAATGAGATTCAGCTCACTGAATTCATGCAACCTTTTGCCTCTTAGATGCTGTTTAACAAACAGTTAATAGGCATTGATTGACTTTCTAATACTTAAAAGGTGTGTTTATAAGAAAATTTAATCTTAAATTAACCTTTCTTACAACATACATAGCAAGGAGTAAATAGAAAGGTTTAGTATTTTACTATGAAGCTATTTAAATCAGGTAATCACTATAGAAAGAAGCATTAAGTTATTAATTTCCATATACTCAGCACCAGTGACAACCATAATGGTAGATGCCAGCACTGTTGATTTTTCTGATATACTATCACATGGGAGACACTTGTCTCAGGCAACTGAATTTTTTCATGAATCAGACAGAGCAACTGAGCGGCTTCCCCGCTGAGCGGACGCTGTGGTAGATGCTCTCATGGAAGAAGACTCTGTGCTTGATACACAGTCAATCCACAGAACTCTGCATCAGCTTTGGTGACCTTTGGTTATAATAGGATCGTTGAATTTCGTAACATTGAAAGACCTTAAAGATTATCTGTTCCACCTCAGATGAGAAAATTTAACCAAAATAGGTGCGCTAACGTGCTTCAGATCACCTTTGTAGAAAATGACAGAGTTGGAGTTCAAACCCCAAACAAATCTTCTGTTACCCAAAGAAATCAGCTCAAAACCTCAGACCACCTAGCTCTTCAGTTTCACTTCCCTGGTCCCCAGACTTCCTGTCTTCCAGCAGATCCCTCAGTCTCACCACTGAGGAACTTCCCAAGTCAGCACCAAACTGTCTTCCTCTCATCAACCAATTCCCTGATGTTGTGCCATCTCAATGTCACGACTTCTCTTATCCCGCTGGGCAATTTCACTGTTTATTCCAGTGCTTCCTTTATCCAATACCGCACCTACCAAAACCACACAGCTGCTTTATTTTAAACTCTTCCTTATGGTCCAGACAAAGTTACCTACAAAACCAAAGCTCGTGACCATGACCACATCACAGAGTCCTACTCTCTCCACCTAGGCTTATAGAAGCTTCTTCTATCTCATGCTGCACGTGAATATCATATACTGAAAAAGTTAAGTTTTCTCCTTAATCGGGCAGGTAATGGCTCAAGACACATAGCCAAGCAAACGATTATGTTTGTAAGTGAAGCAGGGAAAGCAGCAGAGTCCATTCACACTACCAGTAAATAACAAACTTTACTCTTTACCAAAAATATCCTCTCTCGCTCAAGAGCGGAACCATTGATGAACTGACCCCTTTTTTTCTTTTTCTTGTCTATGTTCTTGTGAAGGCACTCAAAGAAGGAGGAGGTGGTCAAAGGAGAAGACAGGACAAAGATGCGTAAAAAGTCCAAACAACCAAAAGTAGTTGCAGAGTGTGTGTTAAACATGTGGACTCCAAAGGCCACCTGGCCAGTCTTGGTTCCACTAGTAACAGCCAAATGGCCCTGGGCATACTGCTTGAACTCTCTGCTTAGTTTCCTCATCTGGAAAATGGGGTAATAGTAATACCTACCTCATGAGGTTGCCATGAGCATTCAGTTCATACATGTAAAATACTTAGGACAATGTTTGACACGTATGAAACACTACATAAATATTAGTTAACTAAGCTCTAGCCGGTTTGGCTCAGTGGATAGAGTGTCGGCCCATGGACTGAAGGGTCCCAGGTTCGAATCCAGTCAAAGGCACATACCTTGATTGCAGGTTCCCCGGCCTGGTCAGGGTGCATGATGGAGGCAACCAACTGATGTCTCTCTCACATCAATGTTTCTCTCTGTCTCTCCCTCTCCTTTCCACTCTCTCTAAAAATCAATGGAAAAATATCCTTGGGTGAGGATTAACAAAAATAATAATAAATATACCAATAAATAAATACTAGTTAACAAAAATAAATCCTGAGTTGGAAATTATTTTAACAATCACGCTGTGTGTCTGCTGATCTGTAAATCTTACTAGCAGTTTTAGGACATAGAGACCTGATGATGGTTTCCACACCACACTGCAGACACCCTATTTCCTCTAATGTGGATGGTTTCCTGAGAGCTCATTTTTTAATTCCTTTACATTGGGACTTGACCGTACTCCTGGGTCTCTCACTAACAGTCCCCCTTGCTGCAGCCATGGTGAGGAAAGGCCTCCAAACTTCAAATACAAGGCCTGAGAAACCACAAAGGTGTCTGCCCACACATCCCAAATTCTACCTGTAACCCAGGACTGGAATTGGGGGACAACAGCCATCTGCCATAGAAAAAACAAAATGAAGGGAACATTCTTTGCACTGAATGTGACTTCATGGTACAGGGCTCACAGGTCAAAGCAAACTTCTCAGAAGTTGTCCTAAATCCTCCCCTCCATTTCCTTCTTCATTTTGCTCTGATCGGGCTCGTGGCTACACTAAATTCAGTCTTCTCACGGTCATTATAATACGACCGCTTTGCTAAACCCCGTAAGCTCATCGGACTCCATGTCTCAGGAGGACTCCACTGCTGATACTGCCTATCCTCCAGGGCTTCCCGCTCTTGGCTTCTGGGCCACCACATTCTCCCGGGATTTCTGGCTACTCCTCTGGGGCTCCTTCGCTGGCTGTCCCCTGCCTCCCCTCCTCCTCACATTGGAGTGTCCTGAGGCTCATTCCTGGGTCCTCTTCTCATCTCCATCCAGTCTTGTGGTTTAAAAGAGCGTTTCTTTCCTCAGTGACTCTCAAATATAGATCTCCAGCCCATGCCTAATCCTGAACTCCTGATGCATACATCCCACTGCCTTCTCAGTGACTCCACTGAGATGTCTAACAGATCCTTAACTTAGTTTGTCCAAAACCAAACTCCTGACTTTGCCCCCAACCTCCCCCTCTTCTGTCTTTCCCACCTCAGTAAATAACACTCCCCACCTTCCCCTCCTCTTCTCACTTCCTTCATCCCTTACCAGTCAGCAAATCCTATCAACTCTACCTTTAGAAACACCCAGAATCTGACCAGACCTCAAAACCTCCAATCTGCCCTCTGGTCCCCAGCACTATCATCCCTCCTGAGTACTGAAAGCACCCTCGTAAGACATTCTCTCGCTTTTGCCCTGGCCCCACAGTAGCATTTTCTCAAAACAGCAGCCAGAGAGAGGCCATTAAAACCTAAGTAGGATCATGACATAGTCCTAAATAATCTGAGTTGCCCCATTCTACCCTCAGGCCTCTGACCTAATCTCCTCCTACTCTCCCCAGTTCACGCCACTCCAGCCACGCTGGCCTCCTTCTGTTCAGGCCCCGGTGCTTACTGCATCTTCTGCTTGGAACGCCCTTCCCCATCCATGAGCTTGGCTCCCTCAACACCTTCACGTCCCTGCTCAAAAGTCATCCTCTAGATCAGTGGTTCTCAACCTTCCTAATGCCGCGACCCTTTAATACAGTTCCTCATGTTGTGGTGACCCCCAACCATAAAATTATTTTCGTTGCTACTTCATAACTGTAATTTTGCTACTGTTATGAATCGTAATGTAAATATCTGATATGCAGGATGTATTTTCATTGTTACAAATTGAACATAATTAAAGCATAGTGATTAATCACAAAAACAATATGTAATTATATATGTGTTTTCCGATGGTCTTAGGCGACTCCTGTGAAAGGGTCTTTCGACCCCCAAAGGGGTCGCGACCCACAGGTTGAGAACCGCTGCTCTAGATGAAGCTGGTCCTCACAGTGCTTTTTGAAATTGCAAACTACACCTGCTTAGCACTCATCTCCCTTCCCTGCTTTAATTTTCCCAATAAGATTCATCAACCTCTTATTTTATAAATGTTATTTTAAAATTGTTATAAAATTATTTTATTTCTCCCTATTAGAATACTCATTTTTGTCTTCCCCTACTAGTGTATAAGCTGGAGGCAGGTGGAGATTTATATCTGTTCTTGTTCACTGCTGCATTCCTACTGCCTAGTAAGTGCCTTATATACAGTAGATACTCAGTAAATATGTGCTGAATGAATGGGAAGGATGATTCCCCGGGCTCCTCTTACCTAAGACAGTCATCACTGTCTTCATTAGCTTCATGGGGGTCCTCCGGCGGCTGATGGAGCCACTGGTATGTGGGGACAAGACGTTGGTTTTCCTCTTGACGTACATGTAGATCCGCAGGTACACCACGACCATGATGAAGAAGGCCAGGAGGTTGGACACAGTCCAGAAAATGAGGTAACTCCTGCTGTAAATGGGGGCCAGGGAAGAGCAGGTAGAGATGTCACAGAGGCAATTCCAGCCCAGTGTGGGGACCGCCCCCATAAAGATGGCAATGGCCCAGACAAACAAAATGAGCAAAGTCACCCTCTTTTTGGTCAGGTTGCTGTGGACCCGCATCCTCATGATTGACATGTGCCTCTCCACGGCAATCACCAGCAAATTGGTCAGGGAGGCAGTCAAGCTAGTGTCCAGAAGCCCCTGGCGGAGAAGCCAGCGGTTGACGGTCAAAGTTCTTGACACGGGGCCAGTGTGGAACATCAGGAATACATAGGCAATTCCAGCAAAGAAATCTGCAGCAGCTAGGTTAGCCAACAGGTAGTAGAAGGGGAAATGAAACTTTCTGTTTTTAATCACCGCTGCGATGACCAGAGAATTAGAAAAGAAAATAAACAGGCAGAAAAATGTTCCAACGCATAGAAGGATCACAAGCTTCGTTCCTGTCCAGTCATCGGAGGTGTCAGTGTCGGTGTTGCTTCTGTTATAAAAAAAGTCCATCTGCTTATCATAGTGACACTCATTCATTGTGGAGAAGAACTGAACATCCTAGGAAGAAATTTAAAGAAGAAACAAATATCACTCTTTGCAAAATCAATCAATAAACCACCCCTTGCCCCTTGTCTGGCCAGCTCCTCTCAATCCTTCCAATCTCAGTAAATGTCCCTTGCTCCAGACCCTAACCCTGACCTCCTGTCACAGCATTTATCTCACATGGGTCATTGTTGTCTGTTTCCCAGGTGAGGTGCAAGCTCAGTGAAGGAGTGGAAATGTCACCATCATAACCCCAGAACTTATATTCCCTGGCTGCCTCAAGACAGGTCTCTGCTGAATGCTGGCTGAATAAATCAATGAATAAATGATCATGGAGGCAGCAGTAATTCAAATATTCTGAGCCCTGCAATATCCGCTCTGTCCTGGCAATGATTGCAGTACAGCATATTAATGCTTTCTCCTGGCAGTTTCCAGCTCATTTCTTATTTATGGGTTCTGTTCATTAATCAAAGGCAGGTTGGCAATGGCAGGCGCATTCTTGCCAAGATAACGGGTGTTGAGTTACTTTTCACATGACCAAGTGGCTTCCCCAAGAGTTCAGTTTTCCACCACTCTGATTCCACTCCTGATCTTGCTTTTGCCATCTCTTGGTTTCAAGTACAATGACAACACTCACTTGACAAGCATGTGGTACAGGCTGGAGACTGGTCTCAATACTCCTTCCTTACCTTGTTGTTTACTTCTTTCTTATTCTCCTAGTCCCAATTGTACCAATGCGAATTTGTTTACTGGATTTTCCAACTCAATCGCTCTGAGTCAGTTTCCTTCCCTGGGCTCTCTCCAACACAGTAGGTGGTGGGAGGGCAGGCCTTCATGGGCAAGACTGAGATCTGGAGTTTGGACACAAGTCCAAGGATGTGAGAACATAACTGCCAAGCAAGGGCAAATCCTCAGGACACGTGTCTGAAAGTAGACCCCAAATTGGGGTATCAGGCAGACAGGGAAGATACTAATCTCAGCTCCAAGATCTCTTGGACCCCAAAAGTGAGGGCTTTTGGCCAAGAAGGGTCTGGGCACAGGCTCTAAGATTGATTGCCCATCCTCCTATCCATGGTGGGAAGACCGGATGTTCTGCCTCACAAGGGTCTGGGTATAGCCACGTCAGTTTCTATCAAAGAAGACCAGGGCTGAAGGTCAGGAAATCTAGCGTCTGGAGAGAATAACCATGGGCTCCCTCACAAGGAATGGGGCTGCAATGTATTTGCGGGAGATCCAGTAGGCTCAGGCCCTGAGCAGTTCACTGCTGGGAATGAAGTGGCTCTAACAGGAAAAGCTTAATGGAAATCCCCAGCTTTTAAGGATCTTATAAATTCTGTAATCCAATACCACATACAGAATCAGGACAAGCATATCAGATATCAGTTTACAATGCTACAAAACAGAAATGTATCTTAGGCAGTCTTCTTTTTATTTACATTTTAATGACATATGATACCTTTAAATGAATTGGACACATGCCTCTCTGCCATAGCAAATGGAAGGTAAGAATATGACTTTATATGCTTAAAATAAATAAACTGAGAGTGGTCTCAAGAGACAAATAGTTCTAGTGCCTTTCCATTACAAGGAAGGGGACTCAATTTTAACAATGACAAAACAAAAATTACTCTCTTTCGCAGGATTCACCAGTATTTAATTGGCAATATCAGATAACTCCATACAACAGGCCAATATATCTACATTTTATTGTGATAATTTTCTAAAATTAAAAGTATAGATATATTTGATCATTTTAATAGCTTCCTAATATTCAGTTTATGAATACACCACACTTTATTTAACTGATCCCTAAATGCTGGACACTTAGGTTGTTTCTAATATGTTGCTTTCATAAGCAAGGTTACATTCTTGTGCATTAATCTTTACATACTTGGCCAATTATTTCCTTAAGATTAATCCATAGATTTCAAGTTGAAGTAATTTATATAAATTTATTTAAAGGTTTCTGATACATATCGTCAAACTGTCCTTGAGACAGATTGTGTTTCTAATTCTACTAGCAGCATATAAGAGTTGAGTAGACGATACTAATCTATAAAATTAAATATCCAAGGAGAAAATTCAGCTTTCAACAATGTTGAAAGTATATAGAAATTCAAGACAAACAATAAAAAACACACATGAGAAATTTTAATGATGCAATTAATATGTGTCCTTTCACTAATGAAAAATAATATATTTTATTTTGCTATATGTTCTATATACCTAAGAGAAACACATTTTTAATTTTAAATTACATCTTTGAGTAATTCATCAGCAACGTCAAGATTAATATGTCAGGAAGATGTTGGAAATATAATACTACCAAAAAAAACAACAACAACACACAACACTTTAAGGTTTCCGTTTCCCAATTTCCTTCCGAAGGAGTCTTAATATTTTAGTTTGGGTTCATAAATTTGGTTGCATTTGTAATTATATGATGTCTTAAAACCTCAATGATTTTTACTTCAAAAATCTTCAAATTCAACTTTCCTCCATAAAAACTGAAATGGCACATTCTTAGACATATTTTAACATGAGACTGAGAAGTAGTTTTGTCTTACAAAGTAGAGAAACCGTGATTAGCCAGAACTTCTGCCAAGCAGCTCCCTATCTCTCAGCCTTGAATTCTACTTTTGGGTGAAACATATATAGGGAATTGGTTAAAAATATTCCAGAGGATAGAATATTGTGCAGCCATTAAAAAATCATATTTACCATGAAGTAGTGGTAATATGAGAAAAAAATGCCATTATTTAATTACAAATAATTATATATTAGGTATATGTATACATATATTTATATACATATATACATACATAAATATGTGTGGTGTCTTGACTATTTTTTTAAAGATACAGAAAAAATATAAGAAAAAGTCTCGAAGTGTAATATTAAGAATGGTGGAATTGAGGCTCATTAAAAAATTCTTTACAAATTTTTCTGTTCCACATTTTCTGTAAAATATAGGCTTTTAAATGCTACTTTAAAAGTTCTGTCTGAGAAGCTCACATTCTACTTAATGCATTCTACCTTTCTTGACAACTACAATCTGAAACATTAAAATTAATGTTCAAAAGAAAAGCCTCAAGTATTCACCTATGTTCAATATTACTACATTTATCAGCTAAGCACACTTTAGAGTTTTTCAGTGATAATGAAAATAAAATGTTTTTCTACTTAAAGCTTCATGTAGCCATAAAACCTTATATGCTGATAACTAACCAAATCAGGACATCATTTCCCCCAACTCCCCTATAAAACATTTCCTAATGCAATCATCCCAGAGCTCCAAAAATGAATAACTGGAAGTTTTGTAAATTAGTAAATACTTTTGATTTTTTTCTCCTCTGCCATATGCTGCCAAGCTTGTTGACCATCCCCAGTACATATCAACTACAGATCATCATATTTTCTTAGCTGGAAATTACCAAAAACTTTGGTGAACTTACAACAAATGATCGGATTTGTCATCTCTTGACCCCTCTCAGACCTTAAGATATGATTCTGTGATCCTCGCCTAAATACCCCCTTCACAGAAATACCTTCTCTGACCAATCCAAAGTAACTCCACACTGAAGCTATAGAACCCCTAGAAGAAAACATAGGCAGCAAACTCTTTGGCATTTCTCTTAGTAATATCTGTTTGGATGTCTCCTCAGGCAAGGTCAATAAAAGAAAAATTAAATAAATGGGACTACATCTAACTAAAAAGGTTTTGTACAGCAAAGGAAACCATAAACAAAATGAAAAGACAACCTATAAAATGACAGAAGATATTCATAAATGTTATCTATAATAATAAAAGCATAATATGCTAATTAGACCAGACTTCCTTCCTGACGACCTTCCGGATGAAGCCAGGGCTGCGAGGGAAGCTGGGTCCCAGGTGCCAGAGGGAAGCTGGTGCTGGCAGCTGGAAGAAGGAAGGCCTACTCTTGTACGAATTTCGTGCATCGGGCCTCTAGTATATCTAATAAGGGGTTATAACCAAAATATATACAGAACTCATACAACTTAACACCAAAAGACCCAAACAATTCAAATAAAAATTTGGGCAGAGGACCTGAATAGACATTTCAGATGGCCAACAGACATATGAAAAGATGTTCAACATCACTAATCATCAGGTAAATTAAAACCACAATGATATATCACTTCACATCTGTCAGAATGGTTATCATGGATAAATCAACAAATAAAAAGTGCTGGTGAGAATGGAGAAAAGAGAACCCTCACACTGTCGGTGAGGTTATAAATTGGTATGGCCACTATGGAAAACAGTATGGAGGTTCCTCAAAAAATTAAAAATAAAGCTGCCATACAATCTAGCAATTCCACTTCTGGGTACTTATCCAAAGAAAACAAAAACACTAATTCGAAATGATATATGCATCTCTATGTTTATTGCAACATAGCTAGTAATAGCCAAGATATGAACACAACCTAGATGAATGAATACAGAAGTGGTATTTACAAGATGAGACAAAAGTAGATTTACAGTTGTGAGTATGAGAAACATAGAGTTTATTCTTGTATTATCAATTATTAATTATTATATTAATTTCCATAAAGCAAATGTAAACCTATTTTTGCCCCATGCTGTATATACAGTAGAATATTATTCAGCAATAAAAAAGAATGAAATCTTACCATTTGCAATGACATGGATGGACAGAGTGTATAGTGCTAAGTAAAATAAGTCAGACAGAAAAAGACAAATACCATATGATGTTACTTACATGTGGAATCTAAAAAAAAACAACCCACACACACATGAATAAACGAAACAAAACAGAAACAAACCCATAGATATAGAGAACAAGCTCATGGTGGCCAAAAGAAAGTGGGGAGGGGAGTAATCCCACAGCTCTCACGACCAGAGAGCCTGTTGTATCTTCACCAAAGCACCTATCATCTGTTACCTATTTTCTTTTGTGTTTATGCATTTATAGTCCAGCCCCGACCCTAGACCAACCCAGTCTGCTCTTGGAGTGTGGGCACCATGCCTT